TATATATATATATATCAATAATGTGTAAGTTAGTGCTTTAATCATTGTATTTGTATATCTTCGACGAAGTTCTTGAAATAAATCACTTATACTGAATGGAAATTGTTTATATTGTCTCTTTTTGAAGAGCACCTCGATTGTGTAGCCAAGGCAGCACAATCTTTAAGTGCTCCTTGTAGGTCTTGCCGTTGTATAAGAGGGTTCTGAATGCGTCGGCCTCTGGCGAATCGGAAAATAAGTTATCAAAGCTGGCTGATTCCGTTTCTTCCAGCAAACTTGCAGCCATCACATCACACACCGCCATATACCCTGTAAAAGACAAAACACATGAAAGCATTTTATAAAACCATATTCGGCATACGAAAACTTACCCCATATTCCGTTCTTCAACAGGGATTTATGTATGTCTATTAGACTCGGAAAATTTTTATTGTAGCTCAACAACTTCAGGTGCTTTATCAGCTGATCGTAATACTGCTTGACGAAGTAATCAAATTTATTTACTTTGATTTCCAGTTTAGTGGATGATAACAGGAAAGAAATCAAGTCGATGGCGACGGTTCCATATTTACATATTTGATAGTCAACTAGATAAGAGTCTAACAGTTTTTCCGATTCTCTATCATAGCGAAACATAATGTTACTCAGCCAGCAATCAGAGTGGTTTAATACATTGAACTCTTCTGGATCAGTGACACCCACTTGTAAAATTTTGTCTGTAATGTGACCGGCCAAGTTTTTTATATCGTCATAGTACACCTCATGCCCGTCAATTGTCGTAAGGGTATCCAGTATGTATGGGACCATATTATCTGTCAATTTACTTATCAACCTTTTACCATCATCATTGAACATACCATCACTTATATGTTTAGGATAGGCACCCTTCCTATCCACTCGAACAGCAGAAGCGGCATGCCACTGAGCCAGCTTAGTTAGCACTGATATTGTATGTTCCTCATCGATTCCTGCCTTACGAATAACTGACTGGAATCCCCTAGCTCGTAGATCCTCTAGCAGTACATGTTCATTCGGTGTATCGAGTTTATAGCACCTGGCCCCAAAGTCAACCTCTAAGCCAACATCGCGATAGAGCTGCTTGAACTCTTCCACATATATCATGAACATGTCCCGTTCGATGTCGAACACGCTGAACTTGTTCTTTCCACAAGTTGAATGATATTCTTCAGATGTTAGTGGTACTTTTAGCATGTACGAAACGGATTTTACTGTGCTATCTTGAAAGATTATGTATATACATTTGATTCAGAGCCTTTCTTTTGATTATAGATCTTAGCTGTAAATCTCACTGACCTTTTAGTTGCACTTCAAGTTCTATACGTAGCATAACCGTTGCATAATTATCACCGGGTTTTGTGCCAGGCATCGCCTTAAATGATCGGATATTTCGAAAGTCTTTCAATGTATCCTTCAACAACTGCTCAAAAAGTTCCGCCTTCACCCATTCGGGTATCTCGACACTTGTATCATTTGTTGTGGTTGTTTGACTACTCGACGACATTTTTCAAGATTTTCAAACAAAGACAAATCAGTAGTCGTCAATGTGACTTCTGTGGAAGAACTGAAACTAATAGAGCTGATTACCGTTTATAGCATATGAGAGAGCTTAAAGCTCTCACAGTTACAATGCAATGTAAGTACTTAACAAATAATGCAAATTCTATTATATTTACTCTTAAGCTATAAATTTACCAAATAAAAAAGAAGTAATTAGCTTGTAACGTTAATGTTAACTATGAATAAACCAGTTTATTTGTGCTAAAAATGTAGGTATACTGCATTTAGTTAATATTATTTTATTATTTTTACTTCACAGTTTACTATAAAAGAAGATTTTAATTTCTAATTGAGCTTTACCTTAGTTAACATAGCCTCTTTGAATAAGCCAAGGTAATATAAGCTTAATTTGCTTCACAAAGCTGGGATTTGTGAACATTTTACGCTTAAAGTCCAAAGCCGTCTCTGAGTCGCCCATAAAATTCGCAACATTTGAGTCAGGACTGGGGGGAAACAGCGTTACGGGAAGCATTCGTTGAGCGCATACAAATGCTAAAATTAAATGGAATGGAATGGTACAAAATATAAAAATAAAACAATGATAATAACTATATCCTTTTTGGTACAATGTACAGACCCCAGAGACTGTGCCGTCGTAGATTCTCATGTAATTCCGTCAATGTCGGCATTTTCTTAGCATACTTGAACAGCTTCAGATGGGCAATAAGCTCTTCGTAATAATACTCTATGAAATCATCGAATTTCTCCAGTTTAATGTGTATATTAGGTGTTGTCATCAACAAACAGAACAAGTCGTGAGCCGGTGTACCATATTTTGGCAATTGAAAATCCACAAAGCAAATATCCTTGATCTCGCCTGCATTCAGTTGAAAGAGGAAATTATTGCACCAGAAATCTCCATGATTAAGCACATTAAACTCGGATTTGTTTACACGACCAAAATCCAAATACAGGTCTGTCAGGCGATCCGTGTAATTGGTCTGAAATAATTAGCAATGAATATTTGGCACTGAACTAATCTTTGAATTCCTTTAAGATTAATAATCGTTGATCAGAGAACACTATATATAATTTATAAAATTATAAATGTACATATTTTATAAATTTGTACATCTTCTTTACTCACTATCAACTGCTGTTGACCAGGCTCTAGCTCGTAATACTGCTGCATGCACTCCAAAAAGGGCACATTGAATGTTATATTCGATTGCTCGATCCATTTTAGGCACTCCTCTGACATATAACTTTTCTGATAGGTTTCTTCATAGTCGCCCAGCTCGACGACTCTTTGAGCGGAGGCTGCATGCCATTGGGCTAATTTCTTAAGCACGGCCTTGATTTCCGTTTGTCCCAGGCCTATCATACGCTCGAGATTTATGTAGCCCTGCGAGCGCAAGTCTTCCATCAATATATAGTCACAGTTGGGCGGGTTCTCGATGAACTTCAGATGAGCCGGCTTGAATCTCACAGAGAGCTCTGTATGCTTGGCATACAACTGCTCGAGCTCGGGCACCAAACGCTCGTACATATCAGCCTCAGCGATAAACAATTCATGAAAGTCGTGCTCATCGCCACGATCATTGACCAATGGAATTTTCAGTATGTAACTCTCCGCTTTGCTGCTGTCATCTGGTGGTAAATATATTGTACATATGTAAATATATTGTCTATATGTATGTATGCGTCACTGACCCACCTCTCAGTCGCATCTCAATGCTGATTCTCAACACAATCGTCAAGTAGTTTTCCCCTCCACTGATCGCTGAAGTGCACTCAAATTTTTGTATTGTATCAAAATCTGCGTAATTCTGTTTCAGTAAATCACTGAAAAGCTGTTGGTTTACCCATTCCGGTGCAGTTACAGTCGACATTTGTTATTTCGATATGTGGATCGTTTGGATGCGATTGTGTGTAATACTTCCAAAGCTCAAGTCGCAACTGAGCGAAAGCTCTTTTGTTCAGCGTTTAATAGAGACTACATCTGATAAAAGCTCTAAAGAGATCGAACTTCTGCTCATAAATATTTCTCAGCTTAATGGAAAAAATGCCTATGTTCATGAGACTATACTGCAATTTTTCATATGTATGTTATCTATTGTCGCTATCTATTAACTAAAAAAAAAAAAAAATTAATTACATGAACACAAACATGTACCAACTAGACATTATATTTGTTATTATTTTTTAAATTTATTCTTATCTTAAATACAATTATAAGCATTGGTCAATCTTATCCATCAAAAGGCTTGCCTTCTTTAAATAATACATATAAACATTCAATGTTTGCTTTGGTAACTAGTTTCTTTGGCTTATTTTAAGCTTAACGCTTAACGCTTAACGCTATGCATGTAGACATGTCGCCTCAGTTTATCTGGCCTGGCAAAGTCTTTGGCACAGAACGTGCACTGATAGGGTCGTTCGCCTGTGTGTTTGCGTCGATGGACTTTCAGTTCATAGTGCACGGTGAAGGACATGTCGCAGAGATCGCATTTGAAAGGTTTCTCGCCATTGTGTCGACGCATATGTATGTTCAGCTTGTTGGGCGTCAATGACTCCAGACCGCACAGTGAGCAAAGATACTTCTTGCCCGGATTCTTTTTGGCGACATGCATGTCGCGTATGTGCTTGTCCAGGCTTGGTTGTACAACAAAGGACCGCCAGCAGTGTGGACATTGATACCTAAACCGTCGACTTCGCTTGGTCGTCACAGGCGCCTGACTGGATGACTTGGAATGTTGGGTCGACATGTGCAGTTCTAGATTTTCCTGCCACATGAATCTGTAGCCACAGCGTGAGCATTTGAATTTCTTTTCCTGGTTAAGGCATTGCGTTCGCAAATGATGCTCCAGCATAGTCTGCACAATGAAAAATTACTATTAATATTTTCATTTTGTTTTTACTTTGGAGATCATTAGATTTTACCTTGTCTACGGTCTTGAAAATACAATGCTCACAGGAATAGGGCAACTTGTCAAATGTGTGCAGAGAATACTGATGCTCACTCATGTCGCGCCGCCGCTGAAAGTTCATGTCGCATAAAGCACAGCGATAAGTTCTACCAGAACCTACAGACTCATCGTCGCTCTCATCCGTTTCATCCAGAAGCAGCTCAAAGCCCTCTTCGGTGCTTATCATATAGTTGGGCGCCTCTTCAGTGTGGGCCTGCATCGAGATGTGCCGTCGCAGATCGCCAATTGTAATGAAATGCATGTCGCATAGTTTGCATAAGATGGATTTTGGTCCGGGAGTCTTGGCAGCATCCGCTAGTAGTGTTTCTGCCAAGGGTAGATCCTCACCTCTGAACCCATGCCGCTGTACATGCTTGTGCAAAAGCGCGGGTCGATAGAAAGTGCGTGTGCACCACCGACAGGGTAGCAATTCTTTGCTGCCGTCGTGGTGCATTAGCTTGTGCTTGGTTACGGCGCTCTTATCCTGAAAGCTGCGTGAGCACTGATCGCAAGGGTATGTCTCTTGCTGCAAGATTAAAGATTCAGACCAAGGTTAAATATTCAGACCAACATGTTACTTAGCATTGTAATTTAGACTCACCTTGTTCTTGTGATCGACAAGATGTGCGCGCAGATTGCGTCGCCAGAAAAATCGCTGCGGACACTTGTCGCACATGAACCGTTTGAGCGTGTTCTGACACAGTTTGAGCGTATGATGATCGAGCAATTGAGCGCTCAGGAAACGTGCATCACAACGCTGACAGACATGAGGGGCCTCGAGCCAGGTATGCTCCTGCCGATGGTGTTCGTGCAATTGATATTTGCGTGGGAAGACGGTCTCGGGCGTTTTACATAGCTCACATGAATAACTGTGTCTCTCCACAACATCCTCCTCACCTTCGCTGTCCGTATCGGAGCTGTCCAGGTTCATCTCGTATCGCGCCTCATTCGTTATGGAGTAATAGCGACCGTACATGCCCACTTTGAGATCATTGAAAATTCGCCGTTTTAAGCCGGCAGCTGTGGACTCAACGGCAGTCTTATAAAAGCCCTCTGCAATCCGTTCAATAGGCTCGCCATGAGCCTCGAATTCAAAGTCCTTAGGATGGGATTTTAAATGGTCACGCAACTCGCGCAGTTTGATAAATCTACGCAGACAGATCATGCATTGAATTTCCTTTGAGCCATTTGGCTTGCACCGATTCAAATCGAAGCCTTTGACGCGACGATCGATGCGTGAGGGCTTCGATATGGCTGATGTGTCCGTTGCGTATCTAGTTGACGTAGCTTCATCTTCGTCTTCATCGGAATCCTTATACGCCTTGTGCTCGTTGTGCTTGTGCTTGATGAGACTGACAATGTACTTGTAGGACTTATCGCATTGATCACATTTGTAGTAATTATCTGCACTAGAGCTATCTGCATCATCCTCATCCGGAATGCTATGTAAAGTGACAGTACGTGAATATGTTTCTATATGTGTATAGTATTCATTAAATTACGTGATCTCCTTTATGATGCTGTGCACAAGGGAATCTGTGCTTTTCGGCTTCGAGCGCTGAGGCTGTGACTCTTGGGTTTTATCCTCAATTAGCTTGGGTTGCGTAGATATCTGGCTGGAGACATGCGCCTTATGCTTATGCTTGATAAGAAGCATTATATACTTGTAAGACTTATCGCAATGATCGCATTTGTAGTAATTATCGACGGACTCGTTTTCCACGCTAAACGAAAATTAGACAATAAGTGAAGCGAAAGATACTTCACAAATAGAAACATACTTTGCCGAACAGCTCTTGCTCTCAATAGAGCTGGAGAGCTCTTCCACCTGATTAGTCGTCTCCTCTACTTCTTGTAGCTTAGATGAACTGTGATCTCGTTGCTTGTGCCTGAAGAGATTGGTTACATATTTAAAGGACTTGTCGCATTTATTGCACCTGTGCAGCATGGGAAATTTCGTCTGAGCTGCCCGGCGCTGTTTTAGGGGTACATCATCATCGTCATCATCACTGCTGTCATCATCCACATTGGATTTCTTAATCAAAGGATCAATTGTGTTTGTTGGATCCGTTGTTGACGGCGTGACAGGCTCTGTGGACTCTTCCATTTTAATTGTTATGCCCTCAATATCCAGCAATTGTATTGGAGTCTCGCGCAAACACTCTAAAGTGGTTGTTTCTGTATCCCCTGAGAAACATTCTCTTGAGAGCTTTTGCAGCCAGAGCTCATAAGTATTACGAGCCTGCTGAACAAAGTCGTATGCATTCTCTAACCTCTGAGAACAGTTGTGGCAAATCCAGGGCGGCAGCTTTTCGGCTTGATCTAAACCAATCTGAAAAAAACAACATACATACGTATGTAAAATGCTAGTGCAATCAATTTGATGACTTTGGGGGTGGTGGGCTAGATGGTTACCTCGAGCTTTGTTAACTCCAGCAGCAATTGATTGTAAGTTTTATCTGCGTATTTACCGAATGGCGTCTCTATCCAATAACGTCCATTTGTACCACCACAGACTCTGCACGTTCTTGTCATTGTTTGATGCGACTATAATTTATAATCGTATCTACAACTCCAATTTGCTCAGATCAACTTGCCAATTATATATACAAATAGTGGTGGGTTTCAATGTGGACACACTGGTGAGCAACAGCTGTTTACGGACAGCTGACCAATTATCGATATGTTAAGCTATCGATGCTGCCATGTTTTTCTTACATTAGAACTTGGTTATCATTGTGCGACTGTAATGTTTTTCATTTAAAAAAGGATATATTTATCAGCATTGTGAAATATGTTACCGACAGATATTTGTCGTACATGCACATTGCATGATGATAGCTTGTTTCCTCTTACGACCCGCACAGATAAATATGAAAATAAAAGTTTAAATGATATGTTACTTGAATTGACACAAAATGATGTAAGTAAACAGCTAATTAGGCAGCGTGCTATTTACTTGTAACTTGTCATTTGCAGCCACTGCTGGAGCACACAGATGACAGTCTGCCGCAGCACTTGTGTAGTGGCTGCTTGCACAAGTTGGAGGCTGCGTACGCGTTTGTATTGCAAGCGCGCCACGCTCAAGAGCAATTGTTGTTGCAGCTGCGCAAAGGCTTGCAGCCACAGTGCTTAGATGAGATGCCCATAGACATTAACTTGCAGCACATAAAAACTGAGATGATCGTTGACATGCAACCAACTAGCAATGCGAAGAGTGAAGAAGACGAGGCGGAGGCTGACGAGAGGGAGCAAGATATGGCTGCGGTGGCTATTCCAGCCCTGAAATGGCAGCCAAGCAGCGACAATGAGAGCAATCAGACTGCTGCTGATGAGTATGTAATTTGCTTAACTTATAATTAACTTGTATATTAAGTTTTATTGACTTACAGGCAGGATATAGACTTTAAACCCAAGCAGTTGCGGCGCAGCGCACGTAAAGCCAAAACCTACACAGATAGCGAAAATGAAGCAACGTAAGCTACATCAAACATAGTATTGTATGATATGACTATAAATTGTCCGATAGATCTACCGATGCGACTTCCTTTCCCATCAAACGGCGACGTGGTCGTCCAGCTCGTGTTAACACAGAGGCGATTAACGAAGAAGGAAGGCATGCGTGTGAGGTTTGTGGAAAGAGCTTTTCCTGGTACCGCGACATGCAACGCCACTCGCGCATTCACTTCGAGCAACCGACCTTCGTGTGTGACAGTTGTGGCAAGAGCTTCTTGCGCAAAGACAAATACATGTTTCATCTGCGTTCCCACGAAAAGCGAGCAGCCAAGTGTCAGGCCACGCAACTGAGCACCGAGTGGTGTTTTGCTGAACGTCTCTACAACTCCGGCCGACTCAAACAGGCGGAGTGCAAACTGTGCGGCTCGAAATACCAGCGTATAGGGGAACTGCGCGAGCATATGGCGTGCCATAAGAGCATTGAGACTTTGTCGAAGCTGAGTCTAGAGAGCGACGTTATCAGAAAACATTTTGCTGAAGAGCAGCAGCAGGTCGACTTGGAACTGATCAAGCAACATATTTGTGCTGACATTGCCAGAGGGCGTGAGC